GGTCCTTAACCTTGGCCCATGCCAAAGGATCAGAAACCAGGGGCCGATGGTGCGCCTCACAATAAAGTTCATGTTGTGTCGTCACCCTACGGCGGCCTCCATCAGCGGCATCCCCTCCAAGATCCCTATGGTCCCGGCAGAGCGCCGACTGTGGAAGCAGTCAGCTAACTAACGGATTTTGGGCGAGGTGCGGCGAAGAAGAAAGCAGCCCGAGCTTGTTGGTGGCGACAGGTAGGTCTACGGCCTGCAGGTCGCCTGCCGCTGAATTCAATGATCGAGCAAGCTCTCTGGTGATGACCTCTTCTCCTCCTACCGCGCGCAGGGACACGTCAAACTCCGGCGCTGGCGGAGGAGCAGGGCCATTGGAGTGCCTGTGGGCCACGCGACCCCCTTGTCCTACAGACGCTTGGGTCCACCCCTTCAATGTTTTACAGCCTTCGGCAATTTCCTGCTGGATCCTTCGATCCACTCACTTCAGCCTGCAAGACGCCCGCAAGACCGCCGCGCTGTGACTGGCCCAGCGCCGCACAACCAAAAAAGGCAGAGACCGCATGCCCCCGCAGCTCCTGGGGCGCGGCTGTCGAGAAAAAGTCCTGCAGCGGCTCCGTCGCCTGAAAATGCTTCGAAGGAGAAATGGCGTGGACCTTTGCCAAGATCGCGCTCGGCTGCGTCAAACCACGCTGCCATCGCATCCTGGGGGCCTAGCTCGCTCACCTGCAACTGTTGCTCATCCCAGGGGCCAGAGCACCGCGTTCTCTGCTTCACCGCTTCATTGCGAGGAAGAGGAAACGAGGCAGGCACCGCTCTCTGCCATACCTGCGCCTGACCAGCGACCTGCCCAAGTTGGAGCACAACTGCAGAGCGCGACCCCGCTGAAGTGTCAAGCTGGGCCCAACAGTCCTCCACGTGGTGGCCAAAGCAACGACTCGCAATGAAGAGGTCACAGCAGCTGCTATGGCAAGTCGCGCCTGGCGGCCTGGGAATGGAAGCGCCTAGATGGTAAGGCCCCTGCGACGCACGGAGGTCATCCACCTCCATGTTCCAGTCGCCGCCGATGATGAACGGGCAGCCTGCCGAGGACACTAGCTCACTGAGGTGCTCAAGCAAGACCAGGTTGGCCCCTTTCAAGCCCCACGTCGTGCGACCATAGACCGAGACCACCAAAAGAGGGAGCTGGGGATGCATCATGGCTTTGACCGCCAACACCCTTTCCGACTCATGCACGCGCGCGAAATGATGACTGACAATATGCGCACTGACCAAGCCTGCCGTGTCACCCGACGTCTTCTTGTCACCAGTGCCCGTACGCACCGCTGCCGGAAACTGAGCCGATAACTGAACCGAAAAGCCCCGTTGGTAGGCCCATGTTCGAGTTTGCCCGATCTGGCTAGGAAGCAATAAGTGTCCCTGGTTCAGGAAGACATCAAAAACTTGGTCTTTCGCCCCTTGGGCCCACGCAAAATGCTGCTGTGCCATGCTCCACGCGTTGGGTTTGTAGCTAACCCGCGCGACCCCATTGCCAGCTGCCGTCGGTCTCCAGCAGGCCAGCTGGGAGGGGACACTCGCCGCAGGAGCATCGACCGCCCGCGCGCCCGTTGCCCTGCGGCGAGGCTGAGCTCGGCCGAGGGCTACGACCACCCGCGCGTCTGCGGCCTCACCCCCGGGCTCGCACCCCCCCCCCTTCAGGGTCTGCCCAGCCACGGGCCCCCAAAGGACGCTGCCAGCGCGCCCTGAAACGCCCGCTAAAGAGCCGCGCCACCCCGGGGCATCGACCACCCGCCCGTCGGCGGCCCAGGGCAGCGGCTGGTCCTGAGCGAGGGCGCCGTCCACCCGCACGACTGCGGCCTCGTTCAAAGGACAGCTGCTCTCGTTCGAGGTCTGCCCTCCACTGGGCCCCCGCAGGGCCTCTCCAGGCCCTGTGTCCTGGCTTGGCGCCGTGGGGGGAGAGCCGCTCCACCCCGGGGCATCGACCACCTGCGCGTCTGCAGCCCCGGGCGGAGGCTGGAGCTGATCGAGGGCGTCGACCGCCCGCGCGTCTGCGGCCTCGATCCAAGCTCCGCTGCCTCCCTCTAGGATCTGCCCTGCCAAGGGCTCCCCAGGGGCCACCAGCACCGGAAAAAAAGCTCTGTCGTCTCCGATCCAGCTGCCCTCTGAAAACGGCCAGCAGCCTCCTGAGCTCACTCCAGTGGTGATCAGCAAAGGCCAACCAGGCCCGTGCCGCGAGCGTGCCCATCATGCCGCGAAAGGCCTGCCTGTTCGACCTGGACTCACTCCACGCCACCTGACAGATCTCCGTCACCACTTGCTCAAACTCTCCTGGATTCTCCCTGCCGTCAGCCGATCGCGGACCCCTGCGATATCGCCGCAGCAGCGCCCGCTTCAACCCTACGCTGGTGGGCTCATTCAAGAAACTCCGGAGGTACTCCTGAGGTACTCCTCGCACATATGTCGCATTCTGGCGGCGACAGCCCCATGAGCTTCTGCCCAGCCCATGGCGGACTAAGGATGCTGCTGGCCCTCTTCTGCAAGCTTGGTTCTGGCTGCATCAGCGGCTGCTTGCAGGTCTCCAGGCCGAGGTGGGTCTCTGGCCGCTGGGCCCGCTGCACTTCCAGGGGCAGCTGCAGTAGCAGCAGGGGCGCCAACGGGAGCAGCAGGCGCTGCAGCAGCGGCCGCCGCTGGCGCCTGTGGGCCTTCTTCTCGGGACCCTGCGGCGCCATCTCCTGATCCTCCGCTGTCGTCATGCCGCGGACGCTTCGACGCCGGGCGATCCCGCGCCTCCCAAGCCTCCTGTCTGAGTCTCTGGATGCCCCCCGCGGTGGGCCCGATTGCAGCGAGCGCCGCCTTCTGGGTCTCAACCGCCATGCTGCCCTTGAGTGCCAGCCACCGCTGCTTATCCTCTTCGCCAATTTCCAAGTCGCGACGGCCCAGCGCATCCCCCATCAACAATCTCGACCGCATCGATCCCACTCTCGTCCCCGCTCAGCTGCGACTCGTTGATCTGGGAGCCCGTCGGCACATGCGAAGGCGAGCGCGACCGAGCCTCAGCCGACCCAACGCCCCGGGCCTTCTGCAGCTCGGCCTGGAGCTCCTCCTGCCACTCAGCCTTGGCCTTGACCGCCATCACTGGCCGGCTGCGCTCTGCCGCTCTTGCTGCGCTCTGCCAGCCACTTGCGGGCCTCGCCCTCCTGATGAACCGCCTGCTCCAGGGCCGTATCCGCCCGCCAGCGCGCCGCCCCTTTCGCGCCGATGGTCTCCTCCAGCAGCGGCGGGCGCGCAGGCTGCGCAGGCTTTGCCACCGCCTGCGCCAGAGCCTGCAACTCCTGTGCACCTGCCGCCTCGCCGACTTGTTCCTGCAGCTGCGACGGCGGCGCGGAAACCGACTGCTTGCTCGCCCCTTACTGCGGCGGCGTCGACGCCTCGGGGGCGCCCAGGCGGGGCGGCGCCCAAGAGCCTGGTGGTTGGGCAGGCTGTCCTCCACCATTGCCTGGCGGCGCCCAGACACCTCGCGCCCGCTGCTGGTGCCATGGCGGCGTGGTGGGCACAAGGGCTGCCTCACGCAAGAAACACTCCGACCGCGTCTTCCAGATCCAGCGATAGCGGCAGGACGAACACGAGAGGTAGCCCTTGTTGGCATCCTTGCCCATGGGCTCCACCAGGAGCTCACCGTCGCAAAGGGAGAAACGGGCCAGTGGGCCCAACGTGCAGTGACGGACGGCCAACGAGGCCACGAGTGTATGAAAGAAAACCTGGACGCTGGCCCAGGGATCACTGGTGGGGGCGCACCTCCCCCTTGCCACACTCAAATCCTCAGAGCCTCCCGCTACGGACTTGAGCATGACTGGCTACGGAGGGGGGAGGGGGAGGACTGGAATGCGCCCTTGCACCAGGCGCAGGCGGGCCACATGGCGGTCACCGAGAAGCGTGTCCCTGCGTGGGACCGCGTGGGCCCAGTCACCGGGGAGCTGGAAGAAACCCACCTCGACGTGGCTACCCGCGACGCGACCACCGGACAGCCCATGTATGTTGATTGGTCTGTCACCTGCGCACACTCTGACAACCTCGAGCGCAGGTGGGCAAGATCCAACAATGACGGGCTGGCCGCGTCGCAGGCGGTGGGCGTCAAACGGAACCGATATCCCCCCTCGGGCGGCGAGCTGGCCCCAGCTGTCCTGGAGACGGGAGGGCGGCCAGCGGATGAGCTCGTCTCATTTGTCCGCTCGTACGGAAAATATTTGCCCGAAGCCGAGCGGTCAGCTGTCATCGCCACCGCGTGGCGCCGCATCCAGCGCACGTTGGTTGTGGGCAACGCCGAGCTGATTGCTAGTGCGTGCTAAATGACCCACTGGCACTACGACCACCACGGCCACCACGGCCACCACGACCACCACGACCACCACCAGCTGGACCGCCAGGACCGCCACGGCCAGGACCACCACGACCAACACGACCACCAACGACCACCACGATCACCGCGAGCACCACGGCCACCACCAGGCCGGCCGCCAGCACTAACACCACGACCACCACGACCACCACGGCCACCACGACCACCACGACCACCAGCAGCTCGACCACTACCAGCTCGACCACCACGACCACGGCTTCCGCGGCCACCCCGACTGCCCGCCCGCCCACCGCAACGGCCCCCGCCCCCCGGCCCCTTCCCCTTCCCCTCCCTTTTCCTCGCCGGGCCGCCCCTGCTGCAGCAGTTTGGTTTGAATTCGTGTGTGTTGTGTTACCCATGGGAGCCCCCCCGCGTCCTAGAGGCGTTGGGCTCCCGGGGAAGTAATCTAGTGCTCTAGTTGTCGCAGAGACCTCACACGCCGCCAGGCCCCGGTGGCCACTCGCCCCAAAGGTGGGCGGGTGCCGGGGCGTCGGTGAGAAGGAGGAGGAGGAGGAGGAGGAGGAGGAGGAGGAGGAAGACGAGAGGAGCAGGGCGAGGAGAGGAGGAGATTCACACGACCTCTTGACCCTTCGAAAGAGGAGGGGGGAAAATGGGCGCCTCGGACGTCGGAGTGCTCAATCTCCCAGACCGAGCACATGGAGCCCGCGATGATCGTCGCGTTTCGCTGGCGGCCGTTTTCCTTCTTCTCGGCAGCGAGGCGCACCCTTCAACAATGAAGGGGCCCTGGGAGGCAAATAGATAGACACAAATGGCAGGATGAACAATAGTTTCCACATCTTCTGGATGTTCGTCTGCCCCCCACTTCCCATATGTTCTGTCCTTTTCTGGGACTCGACGATTATTTGCGTTCGTTTGCTTTTGATCCCTCCTGGGCCAAGCCGCACACACACACACACACACACACTTCAAACGTCAGCTGGCACTGCAAAAGAAGCCGCGGTGCTTCTGACATCGCAAGACAAACCCAGAACGAGGATGACAGAGGACGAGGGCGAGAAGGAGGCGGAAGCGGGTGAGGAAGGGGCAGGCATGCTGGGAAATCCGCCACCGTGCCTCGAGGCACGAAAGAGCTTCATGTACGGTGTTCAATGATGTTTTTTTTTTTTTGTAAGAAAAATAGGGGCAAGGAATCCAAAATCTGAAATCTTCTGGGCGTTCCCGCGCTTTCCATTGAATCCCCACGCCCCAAGACAGGCCACGAGTGCCCCAAGAAGCGCCCAAGACGGCGCAAGAGGCCTCGAAGACGGCTCGACAGCACCCAAAGACGCCCAAGATGGCCCAGGCGGCCCAAGAGGCCCCCCGACGCCCCAAGAAAGTTTCAATAAGCCCCCAGGGCCCCAGAGAGGGCCCCTGGATACCAAAACCAGTCATTTCTTTGTGCTTTTTGAATGATGTTACAATCAACCCGTATCATGAAGGCATTGGCCGTCCTTGAGACCTTCCGAACCCAACGCGATGTTGGCGTCGCGCGCAAGGGGGTAGGGCCGAGGGAGGAAGGGTCGCTTCTAAGAAGCCCTTCCCCCTACCCTCACCCCACTCTGCGTGTTGCCGAGGCAGCCGAAGTCGAAATCGATCTTCCTGTCAAACAATGCGCTGGTCCACCCCTTTCCTGAGAGCACTGGCTTCGCGCGAAAATGCTGCAGTGGCTTCGATCGAGGAAACATGCAAGAGAAGAGGCCAGATAGACAAGGGGAAATGAGAGATGCATCTCGGCGGCGCGCCCGGGGGGAAGTGAGAAGGGGCGGGTCATGTCAGAAGGCTCGAAGCCCCCCCGCCTTCTGAGAGGTGTCCTAAGCCTTCCCCGAACATGCAGAACACGTCTCAGACAGCACGAGGGCTCCTGAGAAGTCCCGCCGCCTTCTGAGAAGGCCTTCTCCTCCTCACTCCACCCCCTCCGCTCGCCGCCGAAAATATCAACCATGCTACGCCCTGCGCGGCGTGGCTCCTTCGACTGCACGCCCAGCATCGCCTCGGAGCCCACCGCGCGCGGCCGAGGCGGTGCCGAGCGCGCGCGCGCGCGCGCGGGGGGAAGCGATGCCTCCGCCGCGCCCTCGCTCGGGCGGCGTGCGACAAGCGCGGCGGCGGAAGGCGCCCGCGGCGGGGGGGGCGCTGCGCCGCCACGCGGCGGCGTTCCGAGATTAGAGGGCTGAAAATCCACCCCGATAAGAGCCACCCCGACGCGCGAAGCCGTTTGGTAAACGCCCCCAAGGAAGGAATCAAAAAGGGCAAGACTGTTTAGTAAACGCCGTGGGCCGTTTAGTAAACGCCAATGGTCTGGCCCAGGTGTTTTTTTCCTACCTTGTGATATCCCCGACGCTATAGCTCGAGGCATCCTGAATTCTCCAGGCTCGAGCCTGATCTCTGTAAGTCTTCAGTTTTGCCTTCCCCCTTTCATCACTCGGCGGTGAACAGGAGTGGTTCTAAGCACCTTTTCCTCTACCTCCCCACGCTCCCCCTCCTCCTGTCCTTCTCCTCCTCCTCCGCAATCGAAGTCGTAGCTGTCGTCGTTGTTGTTGTTGCTGCTGCTGTTGTTGTTGTTGCTGCGCGGCGGGTGCCGCGAGAAAAACAGATTAGTTACCCCCTATTGGAGGGACTCCAGTCCTTCAATAAGGCCGCCGACCAAAGAAATTAGTTACTCCTTTTGGAGGGGTTCTAAAGACTTATCAAGGTTATTACTACCCCCGATATTACCAAGCCAAAAGGCGATGCCAATCGCAGGGGCGCGCCCTCAGAAACTGAGGGAATCCCTACGATCGGTATCCAAATGAAGCGATGCCAATCACAGGGGTAAGGATATAGCTCAGGCTGGTAGATGGGGTGAGTGGATGCCGATCACATGGGGTCTGAGTGGATGGGGGTCGGAGGATCGCGCCCGCATCGCCGATGCAGCCACTGCATCGCCGATGCATCGGCGACGTCAGCGATACGTCGGCGCCATCAGCGTGGAGAAACTGTGGCTCCACATCGAGCCGCACCGTCGATGCATCGTCGATGCGGAGCGATCTCCCGACCCCGTCTGTTCGGCCCCGCTTGGGAGGCCTAGAACAATTGACGAGTAAACAACACACGCCCATACCCATAAGGGGGTCGGAGAGAGGAAGACTGGCTATGGGTATGGGTGCAAGTTGTCCACATCCGCTGCGACTCGGCCTCTTAACGCCCCTTTCCAGAAAATCCCAGCCGCAGCGGACATGCGCGAGGAGGGGATTTATCCGGATCCACCGCCTGGGAACCGACGTCCTGGTGCGCCAGCGGGCGGTGGACATGGATATATGCTCTGGCCCCCTGGGGGCCCGAATCTATATATATATATATACATATATATGTGTACATCTATAGATAGAGGGAGACAGAGAGAGAGAGAGAGAGAGATCCACATCTATGTCCACCGTCTGCGGTTCTGGATAAATCCCCGTTTTGAATACGGATAGAAATCTTGCCCGCAGCATGGGCTCCCCGCCGTCGAGTCATCAGGTGGAGGTCTCCTCGCCATCGCTCGGGCTTCTATTTCCCGTGCATGTTTCGATGTCGTACGTGTTCTTTGTTTTCCCAGGTGATCTACAACCCTCGACAAAATTAAATTCAAAACGCCTGGAGCCCCCCTTCAATGTCGGCCCCTCCGATGTCAAAGGACGCCGACGCATGCTCTGGGGGGGGGTGCGACTCGGCAGTTCCATGCTGACCGAGTTTGGAGGGAGGGGCGCCACCAAATACTTCACACTCATTGACATCCAATCCCAGGCATTCACATGCGCAAGTACCGTACGTTCTCTGTCTGACGACTTGCGCGCTGGCCTCTGGCACCGCGTGGATCCTTCAACTTTGGATGGTCACAACTGCTCGAGAATCCAAATCGTGCCCGTCGCACGACTCCGGATCACTGGCGTCGTCCAGCCCTGAACGCCCACGCCGGGGTCGCCTCCGCGTCGATGCGACGCGGACCTCTACCGTAAGATATGTGACACATGTTTGAGTTTGACGTTGTCGAGGGTTGTGGGATGCGCCTCGATGAACCAACACGTAAACATAAGCTTTTGTTGACGATTCGCGCTGGACCCCCCTCTTTGGCGCGCGGACCGCGCCAGGGGCGGCGCCGAGGCGCCGCCGGGGAACTCAGGCGCGGATCCAAGAAATCCGGGCGGAGCGCCAAAAGTTTATGTGGTGTGGTGTTTTCTTCTTCGATGGTCGAGGGTTGTGGGATGCTCCTCGATGGTCGAGCGTGACGTTTGAGTTAAACTTTGCCGAGGGTTGCGGGATGCGGAGTTCAATTTTGCAGAGGGTTTTGGGATGCTCCTCGATGGTCCTCGCCGAGGAAAAATCTGGAGGTCGGAAAGGGGTGTGGCAGAAAGGGGTATGGTGCCAATCGTGGAAACGGCGATGCTATTTGCCTATTTGCGATCAATCACATCGCCAGAGTCCCCTTTACATAGGATTAAAAACACACCCCTTTATACCAGATCCCTTTCCTACCTCCAGGGAATCCTAGACGCGCTCGACAAAAGCAAATCGGCAAACCCGAATTCCGGCTGGCTCGAGTCTTACGTTCCCCTGAAAAAATGCACACGCCCGAGCGATGCCAAGTCTCTTGCGCCGCTCCCCCCAAGCATGTGCTGCACCTCCCCCCTCGGCGTGCCCGCTCCCCGCCCCTCGGCCCTGCCGTGGAGACGGGACCACGGCGGGGACGACTTCTTGAGCAGGGACCGACCGTCCCGGCATCGCAAAATCCTGCAAGATCCTGCACCCAAACCCGGGTCAATGAGAGATCCTGCAGGATCCTGCGCCCGAGCCCGGGTCAGTGCGACCCTGGCCCTGCAGGATCCTGCAAGATCGGGCGTGCTGGCTGACCCCCGTTTGCATTGACCCCCGTCTCAAGGCTCCCGATGGGCAGCAAGCTGGGGCACCCCAGCCCCGACCAGCCAGGTGTGCGAGCGTTGAGCAGAGGACCGACCGTCCCGGCATTCCTATGGGCCTACCACGAAATGTCCTTAGAACCCAAAAATGTTCGAATAACAAAAACAAGGTTCTTAGAACAGAAACACTGTGTCAAAACAGCGCAGTGTCAGCCAGAAGTGTTCTAAGAGCACTTCGTGCAAACCGCAAAAGGTTCTTAGAACATTGTTTGGTGGGCCTATAGGCGAACCGGGGCGCTTCGCCACTGCTTGAACTTCGGGTGAGCATATATCCAGGAGGCACCTACTGGGAGGCCGTCGTCGTGGGGGGCTGCTACGCCGGCTTAGGCTGCGGACTGAGTGGGATTAGGCCAGATGAAGCGGGATTAAGCGGGAATGCGCGGGTGAAGCCGGACGACGCCAGCAATCGGGCCTAGGGCAAAATCAGAATTTGACCTCCCAGGATTTGCATCCGAATATAAATTGAGAATCTCTGAGATCAAGCGGCTCTGGAGGTTGTCTCGGGCGCCGCGGCCTTCTCAAAGCGTTCCGAACGCCCTGAGAGCGTTCCGGAACGCTCTGGAACGGATTCATCCTCGTCCTAGCCCCGTCCAACCAACGGCCCATGCACCTTCCTCAGGTCGCAGTAGTTTCCTTGGAGACGGCAGGGCTTTTCTTAGCGTTCAAAAAACCTTGGTCTTGCACATGAAAACGGTGACAAAAACGGTTTGCCGAAACGGAAACGAAACGGCCCTGGGTCTGAAACCAGAACCGGAACCAGAAAAAACGGCGACAGGACAAGAAATTAACGGAACCAGAACCAGAGGAAAACTTATAAACAAAAAAGGCCCTGCCGTTTCGAAATGTTCACTTTGCCTTGGGTGCTTCGTTCTACCTCAGCAGTGCCGTCCTCCCTTTGCTTGCGTTGCGCACGTCGAACGGCGAATCAAAGAGCTTAGATCGACGTGCGCGTGCGAACAACGAGCCCAATATCCGATCACATTGGCAAACTATTCGTGGAAAAGGGGTGCGAAGACAATGCAGAAAGGTAAGAATGCCCTCACGGGTATCGGGTCTTTGATGCGGAGGGGATGGCAAGGAAGGCCCCAGCGGCTCCTCCACCACCACACCAGCTCTAAAGCCCGATAACCGACCCCTATCGTGGCAGTGCTGGCGCCTGTGGAGGCAGACCACAGCGCCAGGCCAATGTCACAATGCTCTACGCTCTGATCGAAGTTCTGTGACGCAGTGTAACACCGCGGCGGGCGCACTCGAAGATAGGAAACCCAATGTAGCGATGCCCTGGCAGCTAGCAAGGAATGGGTCTATGTAAAGAAGCCCGTTGTAAGTTCCCTCTCCGAAGGTCAGGTCTGAATTACACCCTCCACCAATCAGCACACGTCCATCCTAACATGCACCCTGTGACCCCTCCACGAGTCCTGCTGGGATCTGGCGCGCTGCTCCGTCGAACGCTGATGGGGTACAAGCAACGGGCTGCCCGTCTAGGGGTCTGCCCTGAAAAGTAGAGACTCATCATTGGCGAGTCCACACCGAACGAGCCTCAATGTGGATTCTACTCCAACTGGATACCCAACACGTATCAACCCTGCTTCTCGACGCGGTTCAATGAGAATGCGTGCTCCAGCCAGCAAGTGGCCTCAAGACCGAGAGTGATGGATGGCATCGCCCTTGTCCTGGCGGGGTCGCACTAATGGCACACAAAACGTCCTCTTCAACTCGACATCAGCTCCTCCGCCTCTCCCCCCGCCATATCAAAATTCACAGTGAGTGCTGCTGGTGGCAGGGCCGATGCAAATATTCCTTGGGCCTGTGGTCTTAAAGGTAGCCCCGCAACACGGCGGTTGATACATTGATGGGGATCTCAAACAGACGGATGTCCGCGACCGTGCCTCGTGGCACGAAGTGGAACGTACCCGAATATTCTAGAGTGCTGTGTGCTCTGTCGGAAGTGAGGGGGTGAGATCGAAGTGGGACGGAAAGTCCCCCTACCGGTAAATCGGTTTCGATTTCGTGTTCGTGCGTGCCGTGCGCGCGGGCGAGGCGAAGCTGCGTGGGCGGGCGAGAAGAAAGTCTCCTCCAGCTGAGGCGCGGCCGGACCAAATGATTCTTCTCTGGGGGCCGGTGCCGCGCGGTGTCCCGCCGGTGTCCCGCCTCCGGCTGAAGCGCGGCCGGACCAAATGATTCCTCTCGGGGGGCCGGTGCCGCGCGGTGTCCCGCCGGTGTCCCGTCGGTGTCCCGATGATTTGTTCCTGCCCTGCTAAACTCACGGTATGGCCTGTTTCGTAAGTCTTCATCTGGAAATTTGAAAAAAATACATGCAAAGCCTTCGCCAGCATCGGGAGGGATGCTAAAGCCAGCATTCACGCACACGCGATTGAGGATCGAAGAAAATTTCACGCTGTACGAGGGTACTGTAAAGGGCTTCCACCACTTGCACCAGGCCGCGGAGCTCTCCTAGAGTGACAGTGCCATCGCCCCAGAAGGCCGAACCCTCGGCAACGTTATGGAAGATCGGCTGCCCCAGCTGATCGCGGAAACGAGCGACCCCAATGTGCCAGCCGCTGGAGGCCAGGCCTGATTTAGAACCCCCGTCGAATTGGACAGACACGAATCTTATTTCCTGGAGAGGAAAAAGGGGCGGCGAATAAAACGCATGAGACTGTCGGCTCTCAAGAGCCTCGGAAGCAAGAGCGTCAGCTCGTTTGTTGAATTCCCATGTGCCTACACCAGTGACCAGTCTTTTCCCTGGGAGCCGAGAGACCACGGGACCACAGCTTTTCAAGCCGAGTCTGAGCCGTGGCAACGAAGGGGACATAGAAACCATCATACATACTCCAGCAGCCATTAAGCCACTGAGCGATTAATTTCGAGTCTCCTGAGATTTCAAGCCTACACGAGATACTGTCCAACACCAGGGGGGAGGAGGAGAGCGGCGGCTCAGGCGAAGCTTCCCAGGATACAAGAGGCAGATCGACTTTCCGGCGCTTGACCTCGTCCGTCAGAGAGCACAGACCCGCGGGAGAGGAACGGGGCTTGATCTCCGACGTCACTCGATCAGGAACGGCAAGGCCTATCCACTCGCACGCGTGCTTCACAAAGAGCCAGGACTCCGCGGTCGAGAAGAACGAGAGGTCGCCGACGGATGGAAGCCACAGGCCCTCGAGAAAACTGAGAAAGACTTCGTCCCACTGGCGAGCGCGGGTATAGTGAGGCTCATGTTTCCATTTGCGCTTGTTACGAGCATCCGAACCTTCGCCACTAGAGAGCACCAGCTGCATAGTTCTCCACTCCGCCGTGCTTCTCCAGCACGCGACGTCTCGAAGAAACCCGTGCGCTCGTGATGGGGGCGTCGCGGCATTGGTGCGTCGAGGCGCCGTTCTGGACAGCAGCGAAAACGAAGCGCGAAGAACACGAACGCCCAGCGGAAGAAAACCAGAAGCAGCATATTGTCGTTTAGCAAAGCGAACAGCACGTCTGAAGTAGGTCACGGAGTCTTCTTGAGGTCGACGTTGGAGGCGAGCGAGTCTGCGTAAAAGGTAGCCTTCCCAGCGATCCAATCTCAGAGCTACGCCGTGACCCGAGACCCAGGAACCACAGCCGTGACAAGCAACAGGCACCACTCTCTTCGCAAATCGATCGAAACGGATGTCCAAAGGCACGGAGGTGGCGAGGTATAACTTAGCGTCCGTCCAAAACGCCTGGGAGGTCTTCTGCAAGCGGTGGCCCGCAGCATCAGCAGCGTTACCGTCGGGAGTCTGCCAGACGCCCAAGACCTCGAAGCCTTCTGAGCACGCAGAGAAGACCCAGGAGGTGGAGCCCACGTCGAACGTGAGCGTGTCGCACATGGGGAATATCGCATCGTTGGTGAAGAGCTCGAGAGACTCCGGCTTCCAAGACAAACCATAGCTCAGCATGATAGTGGTAAGATCGACAAAGAGGCGGCGAACTATGGCCAGAGAGCCTGCAATCCGTAAGAAGTCATCTGACCATGCCAGATGGTTGTAGAGCTTGTCTGAAATCAGAATACCGACGCCGTCCTGAGTCCAAGCATCCAGCACACGAAAGAAGTAGACACACGATCAGATTCCACAGAAACGGAGTCTCCCCACCACCCTGCTTGCCACTTTTACTGAAGGGCATAGCCCCATTGCGCCGTGGTGACCTGGAAGACTGGCCCCACCACGTTGAAGAGCTGCTCGTCCAGGATGGCCTCCCTAAGCTGGGGATGAAGGAGTCGGCGTCGCATTGCATCCACCACGAGGTCGAACGCGATCTCGTCGAAGGCCCCCTGCGCGTCCCCTTTCGCGGCGCACAGCGGACATTGGAGGCGCCACTCCCTTGAGCGAGCGCGCAACAGTTGAAATTCACCAGCCACCATATCAACTGAGAGCTTCTCTTCGTAACCAAAGATGCAGGCGGCTGCCCATGAACGAGGAGGTGCAAGGCGCGCTAGTATCACAAGGTACGACGTGTACCATTTCTGGAGCGTGCCAAGCAGACTCGCACCACGGAAATGAGCCAGGGAAATGGGCGACGGAATCTTCCGAATGAAGAACATAACGATGGTGCTCCACGGCTCGATGCTCTGAACGACCGACCCCGAGTAGCGTTCGCTAAACAAATGACCTATTATGTAGCAGGCCGAGATAGGCAACAGAGCGATCACCTCCCCGACGATTTTCGATTTGCCTCCTGGAGCTTTGCCTGGATTCAGTTTCGCGCGGGCCCCTGAGACTAAGTCGATCGAGAGCTTCGGAGCGCGACGACCGTCGATATTCATACTACGAGCTTCGGCGGCGAGTTGATGATAACGAATGTTGTCCTTTAGGTCGGTCTCGTTCGGGTGGGTGCAATTGTTCGCGCAGCGTCGATGGACCCCCCCCCCCCCCCCCGCGCACACACGCACACACACACACCGCGCCCACCCACCCATTCTGAATGATCTTCTGAGGGCGTCCCAGCGCGCTCCAGAAAGGAGATCTTGGCAAACGTGTCAGGCTGACGGCTGGCCATGAGCGCTGGGGAAGAACGCTTGGGTTCGTTTGCTTCCCGCATTACGGCGCCACGGCGGACATGGCGCATAGCCCCCCTGGGCCCCAGGCCATGTTGATTATCCTGTTCCTGCCCCCCCTATGTGGTGTTATTGGTGGTATATTTCCTCTCCATCCTCCTCCGTTCTCCTCCGTTCTCTGCCTTCCTTCTCATCCCTTCTCCCCCCGTCTGCAGTAGAGGGTTTGGGGGGCAGGGGGCAGGGGGGGAACGTGCAAAAGGGGGGGGTGGGAGGGGAGAGGTAAGGCTCAGGCAGCAAGGAGGAGGAGGAGTGAGGGATAAGGCTCTGGCAGCAAGGAAGGGAAGGGGGGGGCGGGGGAGTCGGGGGACAAGGTTCAGACAGCGACGCGAGGAGGAGTGCGAGGAAGAGCAAGACGAACGAGGGAGGTAAAGAAGAGAAACAGGAGGAGGCGTCGAGGAGGGGAGAGGAGGAGGAGGAGGAGGGGGCGGTGCCGCCGCGCGTTTGCTGGCGACGCCGCGGAGCTCAAGCCCTCGCACGCGGCGCCCGCGGGGGCGGGCCCGCGCCGCCGTCGCCCGCGCCAGGCGCCCGTGGGGCAGGAACCAGGGGGTGGCAAGGGGCGGGGTAGATGTTGGGACGGGAAATGAGGGGGGAGGCGAGGGGAAGGACGAGGAAAG